TTTTTTTTTTTTTTTTTTTTTTTTTTTTTTTTTTTTTTTTTTTTCTTTCATACAACCATCTGCAATAAAGGAATCTTCGCTTTGAACGAGAAAAAATTGGAAGCAAATAAAAGTCTCGTTTCATACTCGCAAAGTCAAGTTCAGTGTAATGAAACTGGCATTCGCGAGATAAGATAATAAAGCTTCCTTTTTCTTTTAGTATACGACTAGCAGTCGAGCTCCTCGTCACGTAATAGCCCGACATCATTTTCATTGAATACCGCGTAGAAACTGTCTTATCTCGTTGAAAAATATCCTTTTTTTATTTTTTAATCATAATTCCACTTCACGATGAGGCAAATGAAAGTTTCGGCAGTAAATTGGAACACCCCGCAATTTATCGTGAGACCAGGAGTTGTAAATATTATACGCGGTAAAACACCGAATGATCCTTTTCAACGCCGAGCACACGTGGCTCGGGTGCAAATACTCCCCGGCATCGATAATACTCAAGCAATTCCCGGTATGGCTCGGCGATAACGATGGAACAACTTTATAAGAGACCTTATTTCCGCGCGATAAACCACTTTTCTAGCCGAGTGGGGTGGAAATAAGTGCTATCGCCGACAATCGTTTCAGCATGAAGAGTAAGTCAAAGTCATTCTTTGCAAAGACTACTTATTGTAGACTTATAGGGCAAATAATTTCTCCTAAACTTAATATACGTCCAAAGTCTCCATCGACACTTTAGAGTTGTCACCCGTACTTGAATAACGTTGACCTATTATTTCAGATCTCCTTCGCATCCTCGTTTTCCTTATCGGTGTGATACATATCACCATCGCCTCACCTTTGGACTTATCAACACCCATTGAGTCCATAAGAGAATCAACAACAGAAATTCCAAATTTGATGGCTCAACCACCAGTGGAAATCGAGACTCCAGCAAGCAAATCAAACTCGTCAGAGACAACCCTACCACCTAAACCATCGCCAACAGTAACGACAGAATCAACTGAACAAACCACACGAGAACTATCTACAGCACCGACACCAGAACCGACTGAAAAGTCAACTGAAGGACCAGAACCAGAAACAACACCACAGCCAACAGCAGAACCGACGGAAGGATTAACTGCAGAAGTAACAGCAGAACCAACGGCAGAACCAACTCCGGAATCTACTGAAGAACCAACTGAGAGGTCAACAGAAGAACCGATAACAAAAGCAACAACAAAACCAACTGAAGTACAGACGACAGAACCAACTCAGAAATCTACTGAAAAAGAAACAGTAGAACCAACGGAAGGGTCTACTGAAGAAGCAACAGAGAAAACAACTCAGCAATCAACTGGAGAACCAACGGCAGCACCAACTCAGGAATCAACTGAGGAACAAACAGTAGAACCGACGGAAGAGTCAACTGAAGAAGCAACTGAAGAACCAACTGAAGAACCAATACCGGAACCAACACCTCCGGAAGAATTTTGTATTGGCGAGTGTCCAGAAGAAGATCCACCTTTGGGTGTCTATCTTCGCCACGAAAACTGCAATCTGTTCTGTCAATGTAGTCATGGCGAGGCTAACGTCATCCCCTGTCCTCATGGATTGCAGTTCAATGCAAAATACAAGGTCTGCGATTGGCCAGAGTCTGCTAACTGTACTGGTAATGGTGGCATTGAAGTTCCTCAGGTACTACTTGTAGTTTAACCAAATAAAATTAAAGAGCATATTGAAACATATGAAATTAGGCAGAAGATATTTGTATTTAATTTTGTTTTTAATGGTCATTAAGAAGACAAAAATGAATTAGAAGTAAAAATGTTTATTATTTTTTATTTACACCACCATAAAATATGCAAATATGACTGTTCGTATCAGAAATTTTATATTGTAGTTGTACTTGAATCCTTTTCATACTTGCCTTATATAATATGTGAAAAATTAATAAAGCAAAAACGACAAAAATGTAACTATTGAATAAACATAAAAATGCAAGCTTTACACTTGTATAGTGATTCATTAATATTACATCGATGAATGTGAATGTTAAAAAATTTAAAAAATACAAGGCGATTCAAAAATCCTGTATTGTAATAAAAATTTCATTGACTAAACATTATGAAAAGCATGGGTAAATGATTCACATAAGGTAGATAATTAATTTTTGGTACATTAATTTTATTAGACAAACATAATATAAGTAAATGATTTTCAAGTTAACTACAAGTAGAAGATAATAAAACATTGGTGTTTCTCTGTACCCCACTAAACGATGATATGTTCAAACTTGTCAATGGATTTCTTCTGATGTCTAATAATTGTACATGATAGTGACGCCTCAATTTAACAAATCCCAGGTCCTCAATAATATTGTCGCTTACATTTACATGCACAAGACTATACAAATTTGACACATTTTGATCCAAGTCCAATGATTTGAGCAAATTATTTGATAAATTCAGCTCGACTGCATTTTTGAAGTTTTTCATCATGTGGTTAGGTAACTCTTTAAGTAAATTACCACTAATTGAAAGATATTTTATACGTGTATTGAAAATCGAATAAATAAACACCTCAGCCATTGTTGAATTTACATTATCCATGATTAACACCTCTAAACGAGGCAACAGTGACATACCTAACATACCGGATAATGGATTATTTCCAATATTCAAGTGTTTCAGTACATTTAAATAAACTAAGCTATCGTTACTTAAATAGTAAATCTGATTGCTCGATAAATCTAATTTTTTCATAGGTAGTTTTTCCTTCACTACGAATATACTTAGACTACAGTTTGCTGCGAGGAAAGTTGTAACGTGTGGTAGGCGTAAGCAAACAATTGGATTGGCACTTGAATCGCACTTTCCATGAGCACCAGTAAGTACTACATCACCAATATTATTATGATTTAGAGAAATGTTACGAATATTTGTTAAGGAATAGGACGATGTAGTGCTAATACTAGAGAAACCGCTATTTTCAATGCAAAGTGACTGTACTGTGTCTGGTAAGTGAGTAAACACATCCTTGTGATTTAAATTGTTGCGGGACAAGTCCAAGTGAGATAGACCAACAAAATATGTGCTAAAGTCCGATGAGATGGTTATCAATCCAACGTTGCGAAGAGAAAGAAACTTAAGCTTTGGATAGTTGTGAGATATTTTAATTTCCAAGTCCGTAGAAGATGCGTTCTCGTGGAAGTTGTCGTCAAAAATTATTGCTTCTACGTTTTTGTGATGTCCAAAAGCAAAAAAGTCCTTTGGCAAAAGATTATTGTTGGATAAATCCAATACCTTCATTCGCGGCAAACCAGAAAATGCCCCATTGGCGATGCTTTTGATTCCATTATTCCGCAAGATTACGTATTTTGTATTCTGACTGATAAATCTTTCGGATAAGTGTGAAGAACCCGAAAATTGTAAGGTATTATCGCTACTTATTCCATTAAATAGATCGTAAAAACAGCCATTGATTCCTTGACTAACAAGTAACACTAAAATAATTAATGAAGTTGCCTTATTCATTATCAACGGTGAACTGATTCTTAAGCAATGAAATGTATCGGTTATGTAGAAATACACAATGTTCACTAATTAATATGCATAAAACTTTAATAAAAATTACTTTTATATCTTTATAAATTTTCTTATCTTAATGGCAAGACATATCTTATTTCTAAAATAGAATTATGAGAATAAAAAATTTCGAAAGTAACAAAAGGTAGTGTCTGATTCGCGTGGCATTATTTATAACTTATTCATACTTATTCATAACTATTCATAACTTATGATATATAACCAGCAATTACGAAAAAGGATTTTTCGTTCACAAATTTCAAAGTACTTACGTTATATTAATAAGAAAAATAAATTCAACAAGTACAAGATGTTACTTTTTAACTGATCTATGCGGTGGCCAATCATGACTTAAAATCATTTTCAATTTAATATTCACATGACCTTCCACGTGCTTTTCACGAAAAGTACTACTACACTACTAATTTTTCAAACCCAGTTTTTAAACAGTAATCAGTTAGATGCACAACATTTTGTTCAATTATTTAAATAGATTTTATGTACTTACAAGGGGCTTTATTTCAACGCCAATCCCAGAAGTTGAATTAAATGTTCATCATCTTAAGTTTTGAAGATATGAATTCAACAGTTAGATTTTTTAAGACGAAAACTTTTTTTATTTTGCCACAAAATTCAAATTATTTTTATCAACTCATACTTTTGAATTTTCCTATTAATAAATNATCTGAAAAAAATTATTTCCACAAACAAAAAAATTACGAAAAAAAAAAATGCGGAAGCTTTATGCCAAATAATTGGAGGAGGTTTTTTTTATTAATAAGCTATAGTTATCTTGTAACCATAGTTGTGTTGAAAAGATGTGACAAAACTTTCAAATCGAAATAAATACCACGTTATATTATAGCTTTGTTTTTTCTTATTTACCTAACACTTGGAGATAAAAATAATGTAGTATGTACGTCCAATATCTAGGAAAGATAAGGAGAGACCACAAAAGCAGAGGAATATAGGATGACTGAAAAAAAAGAAAAAAACGTATCTCCATTGGCTTTCAACGGATATTTACATATGTAAAACGAAAACGCATGACGAATCGGAAGTCTTTATCTCATACTCCCATGTTTGGGCCAGTACGTGGGAAGTTCCTTTATTTCCAAACCACTTCCCAGTTTAGACAAATAGAGATACGAAGTCATTCAAATAGTCGAATCGGTGGACCCAGTGTTAGTCCAGATCCGTCTCAGTTTTAACGATGACTGCTTCACCGCACACCAAATTCTCACTGCTCGCCCTTCTGCTTTTGTTGGTGGTACGTATCATCTTTGGTCCTTTTTACTTCAATTTCGTAACTTCGATTATGGGAAGAAATGACGATTTTCAGATCTTCGATGAATCACTTGCGTGTATTTCAAAACGTGGCAGAAGAAGATCCTCGAGCAGATCCTCCTCCAACGGTGGGAGTCACACTCACCACTCTAGTTCCAGTGGCAGCCACTTTGATGGCGATGTTGGTCACAAGAGTTACAGCAGCGATCACATAAAAGATCCAATCCTTCCAACCCACAATGAGTACAATAATCATGGTTCACCGACACACAGAGATTATAACCACGATTCACCACCACATGGGCAAAATGTTTTGAGTTTCCCTATCGATTATCCCCACAACTACAACAGCGCAAACACGTTTAGACTGTTTCCAAGACATCACCATCGTCATCCCAACCACGAGAACCAAAACTTCGGTGGGAATGTAGAATCAACCATCACCACAACGAGCGAATCTCCAATAAATCATACTACGGCTGAGGAACCCGAGGATGATGATGAAAGTGTTAATTCTGATGAGGATGATGATAATTTTTACGAATGGTTCGATTCCCTTTTCGACGACGAGACCACAACAGCAAATACTTTCCAGGAGAGGAACGTAAGTTATTGATAGGTTCTCAGTTATTTTTCTTGAAGGCATTACTATCAAATAGGGAGGTTTAATAATCTGATACTTGATAGGTTAAACTTATGGGTTTCCAAACCATTTTTATACATACCAACCAATTTTTTCGTCAATTTTACATCATTCAGCAAATATATACCTCCTTAAGACATAGTATACGTTTATTAATAATGAAGAATTACCATAATATCGATTGCTAATTTAAGTTAAATAATCTTCAAGGCTACGAGTCGTCGTAAAACAGTGCCAACCTCGTGCAGGGTCAAATTTTGCACGGTCGTACATAATTATCCGAAGGACCAAATCAACGACGCGCTGCACCGAATTCGGGTTGTTCTAACTGTTGGTAAACTTTCACCTTCATGTAAGTAGGTTCATGTCGATTTGTAATTTTACAACGATCGGTATTATTTTTTTAGACTTACGATGAATTTTTGAGGAAAGAAAGATCGCGCATCAACGACAAAGTATTGCAGTACGAGTCTAAATTATTCAATGTTCAGAGCAATGGATACGATGAGTATAGCAATGATGGGTGTAAAATTAAAGTAAGGGATGGTTTTTTTTATCGTGTTCCTGATACATTGAACCCGAACATTGATTGTTTTTAGGTTAATGTCACCCAACCTCTGGAAGGGTACAGCTCAGCTGACAAAAAAGTTTATTACATCATCAACATGCCAAGTTTTCGACAACCAGTGTCACTCTTCAAATGCAAGTATGTATAATATGTTTATTGAAGATGTTACGTTTTGTTTGATCAACTAATTTTTTTTTTTTTTTTTTTTTTTTTTTTTTTTTTTTTTT